GAATTCAAAAAATCAAGACATACCAAAAACGTAGAGTTGGCTGCTCGACTTGACTGAGATGGATGCCTTTTTTAAACCACGATCCAAAGCCCGCGAGATGAAATCACGCGTGGTTTCACGAGATTTAACGTTGCTATCTTATTGACTTAAGTCATCTGAACATGATATGAACAATTTAATACACCCTTTCAGCATATCATGTAGTTTTTACACTATATAGTTACATTTAACTTTAAAACATGAGGCAATTGTGTTAAATACATGCAAGATGCTTACATAAATCCAAGAGATGGCCAGTCCCTTTTTTTCAGTGCAGTACTGAGTCATGCTGCTTTTAAATATTAAATTCAAAGATATTTTACTTGCCAAGAGAGTCTGCAAAGGATCAGGATCAGATGCAAACCAATTCCTGACTGATAAGTCTGGTTAACACACACAGACTCTGGCGCAATGCCAAAGTATAGTTACCTTGACATGCTGTAAACCTGAGGACATTGCACAGATACATGACTGATTGCAGACTGTACACATGTAGGGAATGCTATTACAGCTACAAATGAATGACAACACGGTGACACAGATTTAATCATTTAGCAGAAAGACTGTCTGTAGCACAGCCAGGTTGTTTTCTGAGTAGACGTTTGTTTTTGGTTTTTTTTGGCATATCCCATATCCACAAAGTCATTTCAAAATTGATAAGAATTAAAATAAAAATAGTAATTCAAATCCTCTCTGACGATCATGATTAATTTATTAGATAACTATTAATTTTAGCATACAGTCAGGCTGTCCAGCTCTTTGGATCTTTTTTTTAAACAGCAGCTAACGTTTATCTTTGGCATCCTCCTGTAACAAAAACAGTATCTTTACTGTTGCCAGGATCGGGGCTTTTTATTATCTCAAACACAACACACAAGCTAATGGGATTCACATTTAATAGTATGGTACTGTATTTGTAAGTTATGGCATGTGCAGTGAGATATGCACTATCTCACACGTTTCAACTACCTGGTGTTAAATGTGACTGTTAGTATTATAAAACTGAAAAGCCCATGCTATTAACCTTGAAGCATCGACTTTCAAGCCTCTGATATCTTGAATCTTATGTAATTTCAAAAAATTAATTTGTTGTTGAGAATTTTGCAGTTTATTGTCAGAGTATAGCTGGTGCTGTATCCTGCCTGCAGTGACTGCTGCAAATCCCATTTCTCAGGTGGGTTTGACGTGTTGAACCTTGAGGACACAGCGCTCACAGTTCAACTGGAGAAGGATGTTGGACAGGAACTGTGAGAGAGGAGATTATCAGTGATTATAAAGGCACGCCGCATCTGAGGCTGTATGATTTGTATTCAGAAATTGTTTTTCCTTACACTGGATAAAGCCTCTAAGATCACATCTTTGTTATCCCGATCAGAGGAGGAAAGTGAAGCTTTTAGATGAAAAGTCACTGTTTGGAAATCTTAAAGCAAGATACAAATAAAAATACACTTATTTAAGTACTGCAGATATTTGATGTATATAAATGTTAAAATAGATATATGGACATTTCATTGACTGTACCTTTGTCTGAGCTTGTGTCAGTTGTGGAATCCGTGTTTTTGTTGGAAATGCCAGCAGTGTTTCCACTTCCTGGGAAAGATACAACACCCCTGTTATCCAGATTTGCATAGCTGTCTAACAGTCTGTATTCTTAAAAGACTCTATCTAATGATTTAAAGCAGGTGTGTCAAACCTGCCAGAATTGGCCTGGCAAGGATTCCAATCCAACCCACTGGATGCCCTTGGAAAATGTGAGGGAGGACTTAAATTGTGGACTTTTACCTGTATTTTCATGTTTTACAACATTTCCTACTGATAGAATCGAATAGTTCTTTATTGTCATTGTACATGTACAACAAAATTGTGGAATTGTCATAAATACTTCCTTGATGGCTTTTCACATTAAATCAAAGTAATTATGTAAAAGATAAAGAATTAAATGTTAAATTAAATGTTTTTTCCACTACTTATACTAGAAATTTCTAGTATAGGCAGTTTTTTTCTTTTTAATGGATCCACAGCAACAAAAAATAGAAAGAAAAAAGAAATGCTACCACAACTACCCAACTTTTAAAATATCTTTAATTGGAGACAATTTGGGATTCTATAGTAGGAAAGTATGTTTCTTGATATACTGATATACTGCTGTTAATAATTCCACCCATGCTTGTCCTACCAATGGTTATGAAAACTTCTGTCATGATATACTGTAGGGTCATTCAAACAATGACCAACCTGCAACAGTGGAGACTGATGTTATGAGGTCATCTAAAGGAATAGATGCAGTAGTGCTGCTTTTTTGGCTGGTTGGTGTAGAATCAAAGACTGAGGTTGTTTCGATATCTGCTAGCGTAGTGGTGGTGCCCGCTGTTGCAGTGGAGATGACTGAAGATGGTTTCTTAATTGCTAGTGTAGATGTATCACTGCTTGTCTGGTTGGTTGCTGTAGATATTGGCACTGTGGATGCTGAGGCTGTGCTGACATTAAGTGTGGATGCTGCATTGAGCACTGGTGTGGTGATGTTTGTATCTGTATATATTATATTGTTGTTTCCAGTGGCTTGTTTTCTTGTTGGTACTTGGGTCAGAACTGTAGCAGAGAAGAAAGAGTTGCATTATAAATATTCAACCCTGAATCCACAAATTCTTACTTGTGAATGCAGACCTTGCTATTTTGCATGTTCACTCGCACTTACATTCTGTACAGGTTGACCTGTAGTCACGGCAGCAGTCACCAAATGTCAGACATATCTGATCACAGTAACATCCCCTGAAACAACTGGAGTTTTGTCCAGGGCAGCATAGCACTGGTGGACCTGCACAGTCTGGAAACAGCACACACACCACAGCTTCTGGCATAAAACTGCATGATCAGCATGGCACATATTTGTAATTTTGCAACATGCTATTTTGAAATATACTAGTAATGTGTAAAAATATAAAGTAATGATCTCACAAACAGTAATCAAAAAGATGAATAATATTAAATACAGAATAAATGCAACTGTAATAAATTTGGTTGTTTGTGTGTTGTCAGATTGAGGAATTTCTGTAATGCTTTGTGGACAGGCAACAAGGTGGTTAGGGTTCAGGAGTGAGCAAGGATCACTAAATGGAATGAGAGCGGTGAAAACACTTCATTAGTTCCACATTAGATTGACAGGTGGTGACTGTGGAGGCTATTTGAGTATAATAAACTGATTGTCACGTTCAAGAAACCAGTTGATGTGAGCTTTGGGACATGGAATGTTATCCTGCTGGAAGCAGCCACCAAGATATGGTCATAAAGACATGGACAGTACTCAGGTAGCCTGTGCAGCAGCCTGATCAGTTCATACAAGGCCAGATGGAATCATGCTTTCATTTTGCCTATGTCTAAATGTCACAGTAGAAATGGGACCAGACATCTAATCTTCTTTTGTCTAATTTTGGTGAGCCCCTGAATCATAGAGCCAGTTTTCTGTTTTTAGTTGAGAGGAACAGCACTTGGTGGGGTCTTCCACTTCTGTAACCAACATATTTTTGTGCATTCAGAGATGATGTTCTTCACACCTTGGCTCTAATGAATGTTTTATTTGAGTTGCTGTTGCCTTAGCATCAGCTCAATGCAGTCTGGCCATTCTCATTTCACCTTGGGCATCAACACGGTATTTTCACCCAGAGAACTGAGCAAAAATCCCTTCAACAGTTTCACTGGATATTTTCATTGGGTATTTTCTTTTATCCTGGAATATTCCCTGTAAATGTAGAGATGTTTGTATAGGAAAATTCCAATAGATCAGCAGATTCTTAAAATACTCAGACAGTCTGTCTGCACCAACAACAATGTCACATTCAAAGTCACTTAAGTCACTTAAATCTCCTTTCTTCCCTATTCTGATACTTGGTTTGAGCATTGTCACTATGTCTCCATGTCTTCTTGCTTTCTTTGAGCTTTCGCCATGTCTACCTGGTATGCCTAACAAAGTGGCTTGTGAGTGTACTTGTAGCTTGAGTAGGTGACAAAAATCAAATTCATTATTGTGGGGTTTAGATATGGGCAGCGTCTGTCGCACTGAACACAATGGCTAATTGTACAAAGATTGTTGTGGGTATTACCTGTTGGTTTAGTAGTTGGAGCTGGTATTTGGGCTAGAAAAATGGAAAGACAATGACAACAATATAAAAACATATTTATATTAAAGAAACATGTTAAATTTTAAATACATATTCTTAACATACAGTTATGACTTAATTTTTCTTGCCCAACAGGTACCAAAAGTACGAGGACTTAAATACATAGTAATGATATTACTTTCCTGCCAGTTTGAAGGTTCTTCTGCATCTGTACATTGCCAGACTGTAGCATAATGGCCTTGGCATCAGCATCAGCTCAAGCACCATGATAGATATTTAGAAATTCAGATCTACTCAGTCCATTCCTGAGATATGTATTCGAGCACTAGAACCAGCTAAAGGAGGCTCAGCACAGGGAAGTAAATATCATCATCTGTCACTAATAGCAGCCTCAAGCTCCAAACCATAAAACTAGTAGTGTTAATGCTTACAAACTCAGTCTAATCTTTACTAGTTAGAATAGTTTGCTTGCTGTTTTTGTTAGCTACTTAAGTGAAATCCAACAATACCAGAATTATTGACCATGCATTCACCTATATATCCAGGGACATGAACTCAAACTATCAGTAACATTAAAGAGGATCCACCTGAAAACACATCAACTAATTAAAAAAATCTAAAGGATCTAAAATTAGGTTCTACTCTTGTTAAAACAGCAGTTTGAAAGTATATATAATGTCTCAAATACATTTTTGTAGTATGAAATAATTGTGCCATAACTTTTTGAAACTGTTAAATAGTAGCCAATAGGCATAGCTTCACTTACCATCACAGAGAAACCTTAAGAAAAGAAAAATGCACAGAACAAATACATCCATGGCTCTATGTGGTGTTGTAACACTTGAGAGTAAGGATTCCACATAAACATGCCCTCATACAGATACAGACGAGCTTTTCAAGCAAGAGCAATCCTATTGTTTGCTAGAAAAAAAACAATTACCTTCCTTATCCGTATCATGTTACAGGTTTTGTGTTATTTGTTTTTCCTTTGTTTGGGTTGGTGTTCCTGCTGTACTGCAGGTGGTTAATGGGTTGTACCTTAAAAATGTACACGTAAACTTGGGACCAAATGGCTGCACACAAAGAAACACAAATGTCCTTACAGTCCACTTTTATTAGAGTAGTAAGTTCATCAGAAACCTTCAACAATGCAGGAAGCCAAAAACACCTTATGAAATGTGATCATTCACCACATACTTTTTAAATTTTTTATATTATCCAATGAGAATAATAGCTCAATTTACATGTAGAGTACAATGATTATATCAAATATATGTAGAAATAATAAGAAAAAGATAGGTATCTAAACATTCATGAAAAAATAGATATGCTGATATTCAGAAAACATAGCCCTAAAAAGCTAGGTAAAGACAACACTTGCTGGCTAACGAAGAAAAGCCAAAATCATTACACTCATCTGTTCTTTTTTATCCATATGGAGTTTTATGTAACTGATAGAGATTAAACTCATCCACATTCAAAGACAGTGTTTCATCTGGCATTCACACTCTCCAGCTCTCTCCAAACTCTTTAGTGCTTCTGGCTATGGTACCATCTGGCTTCATCCTGTCATTTTTTCTCTGAGCATCAAAGTTTCCACACAGGCCTCCCACCTTCCTTTTATAAATGTGTGGTAGAGTAATCTCTGCAGAATAAATATGAGCGTTTAATACATTGTATGAATATGGGAAACGATAAATTATTTATTAGCTTAAAGTGGAATGACACATTAAATAAATTACATCATCTGCTTTTGATATTGTACACTGGCTACCTGCTGAATGGTGTCCATTAAATGCCACTGACAAGCCAAAATCAGTTTGTAGGTAGATATGAGAGGAACGCTTCCAGATCTTTAGACCACCAGTCACTGAGACGGGCATTTCCGTAGGTTTTCCATCCACCTGAAGAGGAAAAAAAATCTCTCAGTGCAATTTAAGATAACTGAAGTATATGTAGATGTCAATTCTGCTGTTCATTCCTGTATGATTATGTTTGTTGTATGAAGAGAAACATACATTTTTGTTGTGGAAAGCTTGAGTATTAGCTGAAGTCTTTCCTATATTATCAAATACGTACAAGTTATTGAGATTCTATTAGCTGTCAGTGCGTAATAGCTAATGTTAGCATGCTAGTGTGATACAATCACAAGCAAAGTACATTATAACGCTTACAGTCTTATACTTGCTTAGTTTTAGTTCCGTACCCTTGCAAATTGAGATTCATAGGATTATATTACTCGCACACAGACACAATAACATCTAGGCACCGGATAAACATGGAATATTGCCATTACTGTTTTTTACACATTGTCTCTCTTCCTCTGTCTTATACCTACAAATGTTAAAGTGAAAAGAAATGCGCTATCACACAGCATAATTTAGCACATATAACATCCTCTCCCTCGCTACAGTTGTAACACCTTGAAGAGAAATGGGAAGAGGAGCTAGTTATTTCCCAGACTGATTTTACAAATGTCTGTGTGTAGGTAGCATCACACTGTGCCACAGTAAAATGCTAAGAAGTTAATGTGTTAATACATACGATCAGTTTCCAATTCTTCTTGAACTCCACAGTGTGATTGTACACTCTGATCTTAAGCTCTTGTAATCTGTGGTGCTCGTCATGTTCTTTGCTGTCATCGTCATCATCATCACCTTCCCTGCTCTTCTGCTCTTCTTCACTGCTGCTGTCATTTTCATGCTGACTATCACCGCCCTGATCTAAGACGGGCGTGTTGATGCTTTCAATGTAGATGTCTTGAAGGTTGTTTGGCAAGTTGCTGGTCCTCACCAGCACGTAAGAGTGTTCACCCTCAAAGTCATGCTTCATTTTATCAAATGTTTTATATTCAGGGTCCTTCTTGATCGTACACTCATCGAAGTCTGTCGGGAACAAGAAGAGCAGTTAAATAAATAGGAACAAAAGCATAGTTTAGGTACATTGCAGGCATGTAGACTACCTGTAGACTGGCAGTAATAATTGCCCTTTTCATTTTGAAGGCAGACAGCATTTCCATCACATTCATCTTCATCATCACAGTCAATCTTTCCTATTCCGTCATCCTTCTCACATTCACATTTCTGACTGCAGTGATCTGTGTACCACTGTTCATTGAACTGAAAAGACACAGACAGTCAACATACCACATGACCACAAGCTCATTTTCAAAATTGTCCATATTGTCAATTTGTCTTACTTGGTGTTTGGTGCCATTCTTGTCCACACAGCCACATTGTTCCAGAGGCACACAAATCTTCATTTTCATGACAAAGCCATCATCGCACACACATCCAGGAACACAAACCTCATTGTCACTACAATGTGGTGGGCCATTCAAGAAAAAACAGGTTGGACTACATGCAGGGACACAAGTGGTATAGTGACTATACCGTGGGCAAATTGGTGCTGGGGAAGGAAAGATGTATAGAGTTGGAGAACAGATATATCCTCAGTTATAAACTTCAAATGACAGAAAAACAAAATAAAAAAAGTTTTTGTTATATATTGAAAATGTATTTGTTAATCCCAAAAAGTTGATTCTGTTCATCTGGATGTATCATTTTCATTGGGAGCAACACTGGATGATTGAGCATGCATCAAGACATGTGCTTGTTATTGTCTTAAGCTTAGAACTGACATACATGCACAAACATAACATGACAGCTACTGTATACATTTTAGGAAACCCAATTCAATGTTTCAATTTGTTTTTATAACTATAGACACACAAAAAGAACTTACTTGGTACCGTCAGGGTTGTTTGTTGCGGTCTTGCTGTTGTTGTAGATTGCGGTTTATTTGTTGTGGGCTGGGGTTCAACTGTGGTTGATGGTTGTGGCCCAGCTGTTGTTTCCGGCTTTCGTTGGGTTGTGGTTGATGGTTGTGGCCCAGCTGTTGTTTCCGGCTTTAGTTGAGTTGTGGTTGATGGTTGTGGCCCAGCTGTTGTTTCCGACTTTAGTTGAGTTGTGGTTGATGGTTGTGGCCCAGCTGTTGTTTCCGGCTTTGACTGAGTTGTAGTTGTTGTTGGATTGACCAGTTCTGTAACAATATTTCACAGTCCGGTCTGTCATTTAGATTGTCAGATAGTGTTTGGACTGCACAAAATATAGTTAGGACATTAGGATTACCTGCACAGCGCCCATGATAAAGTGACACATCATCTACTGCCACATCAGACTGAGTATTCGAACCTCTTCGTCCTTCAAATATAATCTAAAAGTAAAGCGGTTACTGTTACATGGCACTATACTTGTGATGGTATACAGAGTGATTAGGTTACACTTAAATTAAAAGTATTGGACTGTTATTTATTTGCAGTGCAGTTTTCCAACATCAGATAGGTCTAATAAAGAAATGTCTCTGATAGGTAACACACCTGGAAAGTGTCTGTTGCTGTAATGTCCACCTGAGCCAGGTGCCACATATTTCCTTGGTCATTCTGCTTCCTCCAAATCTGATTGGCTATTCTGTTTTGGAGCAGGTAAACATGGAGGCCCATTGTATCTGCTGAGCCGTACATATGGTACCAGAACTGCAGACACTGAGGTCCAGAGTCAGAGCACTCAGAGCTGATGAAACGCGCTGTGTCTCCATATGATGCACTGTTGGCGTCAATGTAAAGATAGTGGCCACCTGAATAGGGACATACATTTTTAGACAATAATATTGAGAATGATTCAGTAAATTACACATGTTCAAGTCCTTTACATGGTTAAAACTGCTTGTTAAATTTCTTTGCATCGACATTTTTAACATTAAACTGAAAAAAGGGAAAAAAGAAAACTACAATAAAACAAAAATAAAGAAATAACTAACGATCAAATGGTTTTAACAATGCAACTATGGTTAATATTAAACAGAAAATTTGTGTGTGGTTTACTTATTTTTTTCCTGGAAAAATAACTGTTTCTGGCTTGTGAAAGCTAATTACCTCCTGTGGTGTGATCTGAAGATGGTCCAGTATTGATCGTAGGAGTGGAGCCACTCTGTCTTGTCCAATCAAAAGCATCAGTTATCATCTGATTCCACTGACATAAATCTTGCTCAAAATCACAGTGCATCTGGCATGCTGTTAAAAAAGAGAAAGAAATATGATTACATCATTGATACAGTAATTTTAGATATTACGTAATGGATTTGTAAACCAGAATAAACTAGAATGGGAAACAAGAGCTGCTGTAAAATTATTACTATACCTGGCTGCAGAGGTGGCCGGCTATCTGGAGCTTCAGTAACATTGTTCTTATTAATTAGGTTGGTTGTTTCCTCCACTACGGGAGGGACAGTGATATTTATTATCGGTGGTTGGAAGGTAGCAGTGAGCATAGGAGGCTGTGGAGCTGCAGTGGTTTGGACAGGGACTCTTGGGGGCGCTGTGGTATTAAGATCAGGTCTAGCTGATTGTGTTGTAATTCCACCTACCAGATCTGCAACAGTATAAAAATGTTATTAAGTGTCTGCATAGAAAGTTGGAAACAGCTTTTCAAACCTGGTAAAGTATATTTTGTTTTTTATATGCTTCTTACCTGAGCAGCGGACGTGATAAAGCTTCAAATCATCTATGGCCACATCTGACTCATCATTGGATCCTCTGCGCCCCTCAATAATGATCTAAATGATAAAATTAAATTGAATGATACATTTGCAGGATAATTTTTATAAATAGAAAGCAGGCCACACTCCATGGTTTGAAATAGGTCACCTGAAAAGGTGTGGTTGGTTCAATGTCCACTTGAGCCAGGTGCCACATATTTCCTTGGTCATTCTGCTTCCTCCAAACCTGATTGGCTATTCTGTTTTGGAGCAGGTAAACATGGAGCCCCATTGTATCTGCTGAGCCATACATATGGTACCAGAACTGCAGACACTGAGGTCCAGAGTCAGAGCACTCAGAGCTGATGAGACGAGCTGTGTCTCCATACGATGCACTGTTGGCTTCAATGTAAAGATAGTGGCCACCTGAATGGGGACATACAATCAGTAAGTTAAAGATATGCTTTTAGGCAATAACACTGAGAATAAATAAGTACAGAAGTTAATTTACAAGCCATTTGCACTTGTTGCTAAAACTGCCTCATAAAGTTTTTCATACTGAATGGAAAAAACAAAAACAAAAAAAACAAATCACCAAACTGGCTTTAATGGTGTTACTGTTTTATTCGGGAAGTTTAACACTATATAACCTCAGTATATTAACTTTATTTTCCCTATGTCAGAAAGCTAATTACCTCCTGTGGTGTGATCTGTAGAAGGTCCTGTATTGATAGTAGGAGTGGAGCCACTGTTTCTTGTCCAATCAAAAGCATCTGTGATCAACTGATTCCACTGACATAAATCTTGCTCAAAATTACAGTGGAATTGGCACACTGTTCAAAAAAGAAAAATATGATTATATAAGGCATAGAATAATTCTAGACATAAAATATCCATCCATCCATTCTCTTCCTCTTATCCTTATCAGGGGTGGGGAACTGGAGCCTAACTGAGCTTCCATTGGGTGAGAAGCAGGGTACACACTGGACAGGTCACCATTATATTGCAGGGCTAATACAGACAGACAACCATTTGCACTCACATTCACACCTATAGGAAATTTACAATCAACAATTAACCTAACCCCACTAACTGCATGTCTTTGGGCTGTAGAAAGAAGCCACAGTACCCCGAGAGAACCCACACAAACATGGGGAGAACATGCAAACTGCACACAGAAAGGCGTGTTGGAGTAAAACTCATGACTTTTATGTAGTGAGTCAACGGTGCTAACCACCACCCCACACTGCTGCACAAATAATGGATGTGTAAACCAGAGGTGGGACCAAGTCATTGTTTTGCAAGTCTCAAGTAAGTCTCAAGTCTTTATCCTCAAGTCACAAGTCAAGTCTCAAGTAATGTCAGGCAAGTCAGAGTCGAGTCTCAAGTCACTGGTTTAAAAGTCCGAGTAAAGTCACAAGTCTGAAACTTTGAATTTCAAGTCCTTTCGAGTCTTTCAAAAAAATAAATAAATAAAAGAATGTTGCAGTTATATGCTAAATGTAAATATTAGACCATGTGATTTTTAAATCTCTGTTTTTCTCAACACATGACAAAATAGTGAACTTAGAAAATATACACAAATTGTGAAATTGCACCTCTATAAAATGCAGCTCAATTAAACCTAGCTCCAAGAATAATTTTCACAGACTGTTCTGAGATAAGCTGCATGTTATTCTTGGATGCGCTTGTAGGACCGGCTTTAAAATAGCATGACAAAAATATCATACACATTAAAGCTAGTTGACATCACAAAGTTAGATGAAGTCAGCTATCTCATCGCAGCAAAAGAGAAGCACCACCTACCGTTCTTTATGCAACTTCAACTGTCGGACAAAGTTGGAAGTTGTTCCATCTCTGTCCGTGATTCTCTTCTTGCATATTTTGCATATTACATTTCGTTTTTTTTGTTGACTACTTCATAGTTTATGTACCTGAAAAAAATAACTCCTTGCAGCATTTTTGAGCGTTTTTTTTTCTTCTTAAAAAACTCTGGTTAATTTGATTGACTGTGCTACAGCTCACGCACACATACGTACGGAGTGTGGTTGGAATAAATGAATGAATTAATTGAATTAAAGGTGCACACTTTCTATATAATATGTGTGTTAAATTTTAGATTTGGGGTGAAATATCAAGTCTTTTCAAGTAAACCGGTTCAAGTCCAATTCAAGTCCCAGGTCACTGGTGTAAAAGTCCAAGTCAAGTCACAAGTCTTAGAACATTTTTTCAAGTCAAGTCTAAAGTCATAAAATTAATGACTCAAGTCTGACTGGAGTCCAAGTCATGTGACTCGAGTCCACACCTCTGGTGTAAACTATTATCTGTTAGAGTATAAATGGGACATTGAAGTGTTACTGTGAAATTATTACTATACCTGGCTGCAGAGGTGGCCGGCTATCTGGAGCTTCAGTAACATTGTTCTTATTAATTAAGTTGGTTGTTTCCTCCACTACGGGAGGGGCAGTGATATTTATTATCGCTGGTTGGAAGGTAGCAGTGAGCATAGGAGGCTGTGGAGCTGCAGTGGTTTGGACAGGGACTCTTGGGGCGCTGTGGTATTAAGATCAGGTCTAGCTGATTGTGTTGTAATTCCACCTACCAGATCTGCAACAGTTTAAAAATGTTATTAAGTGTCTGCATAGAAAGTGAGAAACACCTTTCCAAACCAATAATGGTATGTTATGATATATAAACCTTTTACCTGAGCAGCGGACGTGATAAAGCTTCAAATCATCTATGGCCACATCTGACTCATCATTGGATCCTCTGCGCCCCTCAATAATGATCTAAATGATAAAATTAAATTGAATGATACATTTGCAGGATAATTTTTATAACCAGAAAGCAGGCCACACTCCATGGTTTGAAATAGGTCACCTGAAAAGGTGTGGTTGGTTCAATGTCCACTTGAGCCAGGTGCCACATATTTCCTTGGTCATTCTGCTTCCTCCAAACCTGATTGGCTATTCTGTTTTGGAGCAGGTAAACATGGAGGCCCATTGTATCTGCTGAGCCATACATATGGTACCAGAACTGCAGACACTGAGGTCCAGAGTCAGAGCACTCAGAGCTGATGAGACGAGCTGTGTCTCCATACGATGCACTGTTGGCTTCAATGTAAAGATAGTGGCCACCTGAACGGGGACATACAATCAGTAAGTTAAAGATATGCTTTTAGGCAATAACACTGAGAATAAATAAGTACAGAAGTTAATTTACAAGCCATTTGCACTTGTTGCTAAAACTGCCTCATAAAGTTTTTCATACTGAATGGAAAAAACAAAAAACAAAAAAAAACAAATCACCAAATTGGCTTTAATGGTGTTACTGTTTTATTCGGGAAGTTTAACACTATATAACCTCAGTATATTAACTTTATTTTCCCTATGTCAGAAAGCTAATTACCTCCTGTGGTGTGATCTGTAGAAGGTCCTGTATTGATAGTAGGAGTGGAGCCACTGTTTCTTGTCCAATCAAAAGCATCTGTGATCAACTGATTCCACTGACATAAATCTTGCTCAAAATTACAGTGGAATTGGCACACTGTTCAAAAAAGAAAAATATGATTATATAAGGCATAGAATAATTCTAGACATAAAATATCCATCCATCCATTCTCTTCCTCTTATCCTTATCAGGGGTGGGGAACTGGAGCCTAACTGAGCTTCCATTGGGTGAGAAGCAGGGTACACACTGGACAGGTCACCATTATATTGCAGGGCTAATACAGACAGACAACCATTTGCACTCACATTCACACCTATAGGAAATTTACAATCAACAATTAACCTAACCCCACTAACTGCATGTCTTTGGGCTGTAGAAAGAAGCCACAGTACCCCGAGAGAACCCACACAAACATGGGGAGAACATGCAAACTGCACACAGAAAGGCGTGTTGGAGTAAAACTCATGACTTTTATGTAGTGAGTCAACGGTGCTAACCACCACCCCACACTGCTGCACAAATAATGGATGTGTAAACCAGAGGTGGGACCAAGTCATTGTTTTGCAAGTCTCAAGTAAGTCTCAAGTCTTTATCCTCAAGTCACAAGTCAAGTCTCAAGTAATGTCAGGCAAGTCAGAGTCAAGTCTCAAGTCACTGGTTTAAAAGTCCGAGTAAAGTCACAAGTCTGAAACTTTGAATTTCAAGTCCTTTCGAGTCTTTCAAAAAAATAAATAAATAAAAGAATGTTGCAGTTATATGCTAAATGTAAATATTAGACCATGTGATTTTTAAATCTCTGTTTTTCTCAACACATGACAAAATAGTGAACTTAGAAAATATACACAAATTGTGAAATTGCACCTCTATAAAATGCAGCTCAATTAAACCTAGCTCCAAGAATAATTTTCACAGACTGTTCTGAGATAAGCTGCATGTTATTCTTGGATGCGCTTGTAGGACCGGCTTTAAAATAGCATGACAAAAATATCATACACATTAAAGCTAGTTGACATCACAAAGTTAGATGAAGTCAGCTATCTCATCGCAGCAAAAGAGAAGCACCACCTACCGTTCTTTATGCAACTTCAACTGTCGGACAAAGTTGGAAGTTGTTCCATCTCTGTCCGTGATTCTCTTCTTGCATATTTTGCATATTACATTTCGTTTTTTTTGTTGACTACTTCATAGTTTATGTACCTGAAAAAAATAACTCCTTGCAGCATTTTTGAGCGTTTTTTTTTCTTCTTAAAAAACTCTGGTTAATTTGATTGACTGTGCTACAGCTCACGCACACATACGTACGGAGTGTGGTTGGAATAAATGAATGAATTAATTGAATTAAAGGTGCACACTTTCTATATAATATGTGTGTTAAATTTTAGATTTGGGGTGAAATATCAAGTCTTTTCAAGTAAACCGGTTCAAGTCCAATTCAAGTCCCAGGTCACTGGTGTAAAAGTCCAAGTCAAGTCACAAGTCTTAGAACATTTTTTCAAGTCAAGTCTAAAGTCATAAAATTAATGACTCAAGTCTGACTAGAGTCCAAGTCATGTGACTCGAGTCCACACCTCTGGTGTAAACTATTATCTGTTAGAGTATAAATGGGACATTGAAGTGTTACTGTGAAATTATTACTATACCTGGCTGCAGAGGTGGCCGGCTATCTGGAGCTTCAGTAACATTGTTCTTATTAATTACGTTGGTTGTTTCCTCCACTACGGGAGGGGCAGTGATATTTATTATCGGTGGTTGGAAGGTAGCAGTGAGCATAGGAGGCTGTGGAGCTGCAGTGGTTTGGACAGGGACTCTTGGGGGCGCTGTGGTATTAAGATCAGGTCTAGCTGATTGTGTTGTAATTCCACCTACCAGATCTGCAACAGTTTAACGGTGTTATTAAGTGTCTGCATAGAAAGTGAGAAACACCTTTCCAAACCAATAATGGTATGTTATGATATATAAACCTTTTACCTAAGCAGCGGCCGTGATAAAGCTTCAAATCATCTATGGCCACATCTGACTCATCATTAGATCCTCTGCGCCCCTCAATAATGATCTAAATGATAAAATTAAATTGAATGATATGTTTGCAGGATAATTTTTATAACCAGAAAGCAGGCCACACTCCATGGTTTGAAATAGGTCACCTGAAAAGGTGTGGTTGGTTCAATGTCCACTTGAGCCAGGTGCCACATATTTCCTTGGTCATTCTGCTTCCTCCAAACCTGATTGGCTATTCTGTTTTGGAGCAGGTAAACATGGAGGCCCATTGTATCTGCTGAGCCATACATATGGTACCAGAACTGCAGACACTGAGGTCCAGAGTCAGAGCACTCAGAGCTGATGAGACGAGCTGTGTCTCCATACGATGCACTGTTGGCTTCAATGTAAAGATAGTGGCCATCTAGAAAAGGTGATTGAAAACATTAAAGAAATAATAATATAAGGAATAAGTCCACCTTTAGATGTATTATGGTTTTATTAACTGTCAGTGTAAATTTTACATCAAATCTTACCACCAGTGTGGTCAGCAGAGGGGCCCGTCATTAAAGTGGGGGTAGAACCTCTTTGCCAGGTCCAGTCAAAAGCATCCGTAATCGTCTGGTCCCAGCTACAAAGGTTGCTATCAAAGTTACAGTCAAGATTGCAGACTAAAGGGAAACATTTGGAGAAAAAAAATAGCATGAGTCATGAGATACTTGCTAAACTTCCTAAAAGTGAACCCTAGTTACCATTAGAATCTGCACACTCAGTACATGAACAAGATGTAAATGTTAATTTTTAACTTAACATAAGGTTTTATGATGCAGAAACACATGACTTGTAAAATATAACTTCCTGTGTATTTACTTTGGTGTAAGGGGAGCATTTCTGTAGTTGTAGAAGGCTTAGTTCCACTTCCCAGGGCTGGAAAGCTACCTAAATAAAAACAACACTGACTTTTGGTAAACTCTGTCACATCAGTTATGCTAAAGAAGTTTATATCTTAAATGATTTACTTTCCAAACTGTTTACAACAGTATTGCATAGTTCCATATTTATTAAGCACCTACAGTTTGCTTTGCCTTTGTTACCTGAACATGAGCCAAAATGGACAGATATGTCATCTATGGCCACATCTGACTGATAATTAGAGCCTCGAATTCCTTCTATTATAATCTGAAAGGCATAAGAAGAAAATAGAATTCTAAATTAGGATATCAAGTCTTGATTTCCAGCAAGCCCTTCATACATTTCTTATGTTCATGTATTGTCAAACTCACTTGGAATGGACCAGACACTTTGACATCAGCTCTTCCCAGATGCCATTCAGGTCCCTGGTTGTCCATCATGGACCAGAGCTTTGTTGTTTTACTGTCTTTCAGCAGGTAGATATTAAGAGCCATGGCTGTGGCTGAACCATACATATGGTACCAGAAATACAGGCAGAGTGATCCGTTAAAATTACACGCCGAGCTCATCAAACGGGCAGAGTCTCCATGAGTTACACTGTCTCCCTCAAGGTACATGTAGAAACCAGCTATGGAAAAGTTGAATAGTACACATTAAGTATAAACAATGTTATGAAACCAACCAAAATAGACCCCAACCTCTAAAAAGGAAAAACAACAGAAGTAACAGACTGGTTTTACCTCCAGTGGTGTGGTCTTGGTTTGGACCTGTTAAATTTGTTGGTGTGGGTCCAGAGTGTTTTGTCCAATCAAAAGTGTCCTGCATAAGCTGCTCCCACCCACACAGATCTTTTTCAAAATTGCAGTTCAAGGGACAAACTATAGAAAGCAAAATGTAAATAATGGATGAAAGAAACAAACAATGGAAATGCTGATTTATGAGTTAATAATAATTTCTGAGATACAGTGCTTTTAAACTTTGAAAAAACTTTAATATCCCATCTAATGTGTCGAAGGTTATACCTCAGGTCAGCAAAAGAACTAAAATATATTTACACTTCTATTAAATATTGGCACATATAAAGCAAGCAAGGTTATTAGCTAAGCTAATATTTGTTTTGAAATGATTATTTGTAAACTGTATCACGTCACTTATTTAAACTAGTCCTCGATAAACTTTCTAAACTGTGAATGCTCTTACAAGTTTGATCTGGTGTTGGAGAAGCAGTTGTTGGAGGAGCTGTTGAGGTAGAAAGGCCTTCTGAAATTGGATGAAAACACACACAGTTAACACAACCTATCTAGACATCCTACTGTATATTTACTTGTATGATAATAACAGTGTCATCCTCATATTTGATGCAAATACCCACCACAGGCTGTGCCAGTCTGCCAATTTGGAAGTTCAACTCCTGAAACCTGGCATGCTGTTGCATAGGACTTCAGAGATTCACAGAGTGTGTGTTGGTCGCCGCTCGTAGCACAGTAGTCATACACACAACTATTGAGGTAAATGCTTGGGTGAATGTGTTCATGACAGGGCATGAAAACACTGCCAAACAGCACTGAACACTCATTGTAGGCTGTATCCCTCTCATCCTTGTCACAGAGTCTTGGATTGTTTGGACGAGCTAAACATCTGAGAAAATTTAGACAAACAGAGATTAGTTACTTCTAGATTATACTGTACATGGACGTAACTTTGTGCTGAACATTGAGGGGGTCAAGACCTCTATCTAAATAAATAAATAAATCTGGGTAAACTCCCAGATGATTAAACATGCAACTATCTTGCTGGTAATAACCGAAATGGATAAAGAAAATCAACAGCCTATCTATGCAAGATAATTCATAATTTTATTGGGGGGTGTAATATTAGCTGGGTCTGATTATTGGGAGGGGGGTCATAACCCCCCTAGAAATTACGCCCCTGATACTGTATAAAACATGTTGATGTAATTTTAAATAAATTACGATGCATAAAGAAAAATATATGCTAGTGTGTGAGTTTAGTACATTGGCTAGCCAAGGCGCCAGGTTGTATTCACTCAAAAAAACAACTTTTCACCCTTAATATGCATGATGCGACCATTCTGAGTAAAAAGAAGCTGAAAGATATAAAATCAAAGGTTTATTTATTCAAATACTCAATCTTCAAGGAAAACGTGCTTTGTATAAACTGAATATATACAAATCAAGTAAATTTAATTTGACCAGATTCATTTCAACATTTTACATGGAACACTTACATAATACATAATTTAATTAAAGTCAGCAGTTTTTGAAGAAATACGTGCTCCCTGCAGTTGTCTGACAAGCTGAGCAGATTTTTAGATGTTGGCTTGAAATAAAATACCTCCCTCTGTTGTGCCTGAACTGCAAATCCTGCATGTGTGTCTATTTCATGATTTGCCGTGATAGCAGGTTGGGTTATTACGTTGTGAATGTAATGTAATAACCCCCACCCCGCCACAAAGACACTCAGAACCTGCTTAGATTACTAACATACAACAACAATGCTGGCATGCTCAGGCTCAGCAGGTGATGTTCACTGATTTTACTAAACATGCTATGTTGCTTAATAGTATGAAAGAAAAAGCACAATTCAGGCTCATTGGAGAGTAAACACTGCCACTCTGCTGGCGCTAAAAAATGCAGTCATTTTACTAGCTTTTGTTTTTTTCAATACTATGCTGGTATATTTAGGTACAGAAGTGCCATACTGGTACCCAAATGTTTGCTGTTACTGTGTACAGTATTAAAATAACTCACTCAGAGTTGTTTGGCACCCTCCAGCTGTCACCAAACTCAAACGTTTCTGACACGTTTTGGCCTCCTGGAGTTACAAAGTCATCGTCCTGGTATCCAGAATAAGTGCCACACAGACCACACAGTTCATATTTGTAGTGCTCATCCACCTGCAGAAACAGTCTGTTCTCTCCATCTATGTGCATTTTGAGGCCAAAAGTTGTCTCCAAGATGATATGATTATTCTTCACATACACCCATACTGAGCCATATGTCCCGCTGGTGGAATATGGCAGTTGGACTTGCTTATAACTAACCTAAAGAAAGGACAGTCTTTTAATAATTGAACTTATTTTGCATGTTGTTTTACATAAAGTAGAGATAATATTTTCTTGAAATAGTTAGTGTGGAGCAGGGAAATTATTTTACTGCTATTGTTAAATAATTGTCATCATTACCATTGCATTAATAATATAATCTGGAGTTTATATTGTGTTCAGGGGTTGAACAGTGTGTGTCTTTCAGAAAGACTAAGTTGCAGGCTGACAGGAAGTTGCAGGTTTGCAGAGTGTGCCTTTTGCAGAACTGAAACCGAAAGCAGAGTCTAAGTGCAGGTTATTTTGAGGAGCCTTTGAGGACGAGACACAGACAGTAGGTGAAGAGGTGACACAAAGAGCATGTGAGGTCAACACATACACACACATTGGTTAGATTTATTTAGAGGAGAGATTAGTTATGTCTCGATAAGAAAGAGGAACAATTCACTTTAAGATAACGGAAAGTACCAGCCATGAAAATAGAAGATGATCTTCTAGGTGAAAAGTCATTCTGGTGTTGATCTGATCTATGTATAAAATGTATCTGTGACGCATGAAGGGGCGTCAGTAAATCAAACCCTGATGCTATAAAATATCTGTTCATGCTTTGATTAAGTCGAGGACTACTGGCTGTCTGCATACAGAGTGTCTTCCCACACGTGTGTTCATTAAAATCATTGTTTGACCAAGACCTTCTGGACCAAGAGTGGTTTGTACTCTCCCTCCTCAATTTTGAACCTTAACATTAGTTAGGTTAGTGCTACCAGTGACCTACTAACTAACTAAAGTATAGCCCTTTAGCTTGCTTAAGTTCCAGGTTGTAAACAGCTGACTTCCTCTAACAATCTGACACAACAGTAACTGACCTCTAAAAACGTGTGAAAGTCATCTGCCACTGTCATTAATGAATTACAGGAGATAATGCAGAACAAAAGAAGTCCTTGTGCAGTAAAATGTAAGCTGTAACTAATCCCAGATCACTGTTCTTGAAAACAGCCCTGTTGAATTTAAAGGTGAAGAAATGTTTTCAATGGTGTTAAAGAGAGAATTGCTTTCTTACATAGACCTCTCCGCTTTGATTCAAGATGAGATACAGATCCTCGACTTGGAGAGCCACGGCTTGAAGCTTGGATCTGGTGAAGTTCTGAAGGGGGGGGTGGGTGTTGTGTCCAGATACTGTGAACTGGACTGAGCTTCCTCCACCACATGTGGTGGTCAATATGTAACTGCATCCCCCTTGAAAGTCATATGCCAGACCGTCAAAGGTGATGTAGTGTGGATCACCGTACACACTGCAGGTGGTGGGTTTGAAAAGGAAGCAGCCTTTGACCCCATCTTTAACCTTACAAACTTCATTGTCTGCACATTGCATTTGAGTGCACTGCATATTGTTATTACCCATACACTGACACTGTTGCACACAATCTCCTTCCACCAGTATTTCTCCTTTCTGCAGGCAGAACAGAGTTATGTGAATAAATTACTGTGAAATTGAATATGTGAATAAGAAATTGTGTTGTGTTCATTTACCTCACTTACCTCATAGTGTTTTCCATTATACCAGCACCCGCAGTCTTCTGCTGGGACACACTTTTCCCCACTGAGTTTGAAGCCAGAATCACACTCACATCTTGCCTCACAGCTTCCACAGGAGCCAGCTATATCCAGACTGGAGCACACCTCGGGACAGCCATCAGCACACGAGTTATAGTGGCTGTTCTCACCGCACTGAATGGCTGAGGGGATCCGAGAAAAAGACAGGAAAAAGTGCATGACCTTTACTGTTATCAGTTATTATTTGCCACTGTGCGCTCTATTTTGAAAAGGAGGAAGAAAACAAAAGCAGGATTTAATAACGCAACATACGGCAGATTGTGGAGTTCCTCAACATGGGTACTGCAATGCCAGCTTTATTGCAGATATCAATATAGACCCGTAGCGTCTCACATAGCACGGCTTGGTCACCATGAGTAGAACACATGGCAAACACGCAGCCTCTGATATAGCTGTCTGCCCCTACAACTGATAAGCAGTCAGCAAAGGGACCAGTAGTAGAGAATAAGCCTCCACAGTACAGCTCGCTGGCATACTGTGTCTCCTCCAGTGGGTCACACTGAGGGAATAGAATGGTTTCACAGGAAGAGGCAGTTTTCCCAGTCTGCCAGCTTTCAGCCAAAGCTGTTGCGTTTTGTGAATCGAGGTTCCTAAAGTCATCTTCTTTGAGGTGGTTAAAGTTGCCACACATGCCACAGACTTTATCAGAATAGGTTGATGGGAGGGTGACGTGGACCACACCAGTGCTGTCAAATGAGACTGTAAGACCAAAAGTGGTTGCCAGCACAATAGTGGTAGGGGTGCTCCTGATGTTGACAGTGTCGCTGTTAAGGCTTAGTGGAAGCTTTCTCCAGATCCCATTAATCTGAAAAACAGTGTTAGTTTAGCCTTTTTTACCAGTTGCCATACACAATATGGACTTATTGCATTTGAAAGTTTATATAAAAGAAGGCACTTAGAAGATAGCTGTGCTCATAAAGGCCAATATGACCCATTAGTCCTTTGCCAGTGGCAATAAAATCTGCCCTTTATGCAATTATGGGAATCGCTGGATTTGGTGCTTTACTTGGCTCAGTGGTCATTACTTCATAATGGCGAGGCAAAAGGAAGTGCAGTTGTATGAACAGTAGTTATGGATTATGAAGTTTACAGAGCAGTATAAAACAGAAAATGTGAATACATAATACTATATTTTTATTAGGAAAATAGCTGTTACCAAACAGATATTCGTTCAGTAGTTGACAGTGGCTTTGTTTACAAAATATTGACTTCCTTAGTAATGTAAAATACTCAAATTGTCTTCATATGTATGTGTCAGAAATGTACTCTTCAGTGTTTGTAAATGTTAAAGGCTGGTATAATTAGTAATTAACTGTGCCCTAAATTTCTTCCATACATATAAGTAACTCACCACAACCCGGTCTGTTTGGCTTTTCAGCAGAGACACCCTGTAAATCCTCATGTTAATATTGATCTTCTGGACCTCTGGCAGAGATGTGTTATCATGCTGCTCATTGACCACTTCCACAGCGAACATGGGCAGGGTTTCAGTGGGTGAGCAGGTCTTAGCCAGAACATAAGTGCAGGCGGTCGTAAAGCGGAACAATACTCCATCAAAAGTGCTGCCGTCTGCGGGACTGTGTATAGTGCACATCCCAAAGGTAGAAGTCCCATTGGGGCCTCTTCTTTGAGGACCACAGAGTTGGCCTTCAGGGCAGTGAGAGGGAAAGCAGGAGAGCTGGCCAGCAGAACAGAGGCAGCGGGTGGTCTCATCTGTCCATATCTCTGCATTCGATTCACACTGTAGTCCTGTTGGAGTGACCATATTAACAGCTTATCGACACCTATGTAGGATTAATAACATTAAAAAACTGTATTCAGTTTTAATATTGTAGTTCAGAATATTTTCTAAAACATCCTCATCAAAAAATGTCTTTGTGACAATTCTTATGACACGTCTTCTGTTTTTATGTACCGCACAAAGGTTATTATGAATACAGTTCAATCTTTTAATTGATTTGTGGCACTAGAGCTGTTGTTGAGAAGTTTAATTTGGTAAATACTTACCACAGGAGCCTTTTCTTACACCTATCTGTTTAAATGTGATCTCTTTCTCTATGGACAATCCTTGAACCACTTCAAACACAACCTAATATATAAAAAAGGTAATTTATTTAAGGACATGCTATAGAATATTTATATTATGACAGTACAGTTCTAATGTGTGCTGCTATGTTTTATTTTACCCGAGTCCTGGACTCAGTGATGTTCAGGGGCACAAACGCTTGCCTCCATGCATTCTGAGGGAGAGCAGGAGAGGTCCAGATTTCTACTGAACCAACGCTGTTTTTTAGCAAGACACGAAGTTCAGACCCATTAGCTGCAACTGGGACAAGGTACCAGAACTCTAGACAAGCCTGGCCCTCAATCCCTAGTGGACCACTCTCTGAAACATTCACTGCAAAATCCCCTGGAGGAGAAAAAGACAAAAAAGAAAACTTAATACGCTACATATTTTAAATGCTGATATGTGCTGATAATATATATTTAACAGAAACAGCTCTTCATCTTTGTTCTTGTAATTAAACAAGTACTGCCTTGTACTGAACATCTGCTGTGAAATAGCTGTAGCTGTAGAAGCTGTCTGTTTGTGTTGCTGTAGCTACTAAATTTGAATCTCATGTGTAGGCTCTCTGTTTGAGTGCTCCCAGGAAAACAACAGGTTGTAAAAGAATATAGCCTATTTCAGATCAATTTGTGATAATGTGGTGAGACACGAATACAATCGCAGCCTGTGTGTAGATTAAAACAGAACTGTGGATGGATGTTCCCGATATTTCACCAAAGGTTGGGACAAAATTAAAGGTTAATTAATTCATTCAACTTATCTCTCAGAGCCAGAGTGAACCCAGAACTGTAAATTGGCTTGATGACTTCAAAAAGCAGTTCAGGCTACTGTTTTCTATTAAATATAATTGTCTTCACCTGCTCCTTTTTCACTCGCCAGCCACTCACAGTTCAGATTGGCATGTCTGTCATCAAAACACTGTATAACGTATTCTAAAGGAAACAAAAAATGAAATACGTCATTATGTACAACATGTTTGATTTGAGTTCTTATCTAAAGCAGGTCAGGTAATTATGAAATTCTTAAAGGTCTTAATAACTGTGCTACATCGTACCTGAATGTGCCCTCCACTCCGGTAAAGTAACTGATAGGAAGTCATTTTCAGCTCTGAAATAGGAAATCAATGACCAATAACCAATGTAACAAAATAAAGGACTGAGTTAAAAACTTGACTAAAAACTTCCTTTGTTTTAATTTAAATAAACTAAACTAAAATATTATTAATCACAGATAAACTAAAAAATTTAAATGATCTTGAAACCTACCTGCATTGAGTCCCTGTCTGAGTTAGAAAGAGAACAGCCACTGTGACCACCAAATCTGTACGTATGCCTCCAAGCATAGCTGATCCTATAATAGCAACCTCTCGGCTGCTCTCCTGTTGCTAAAACTTTTTCTCTTTGATGAGTTGAAGAATGAATGATGAGCAGTAACTGCTGTTAAGCCTTTTGGTGGAAGCAAAGCTTAAGCGACTGTTTGAATGCGAGCGCAAGCCTGTACTTTATGTCTTGTTCTCAGAATAGAGCTTTGGGTTTAGGTATTTATCCCTTTTATTTGACCACCTGACCAGGTAACCTCAGCCGTGGGAGGAAAAAGAGGACAGCAGGGCATTAAGGCATGAAAGGGGTTGGACTAGCATAAAAATGTTGTAAAGGTGACGACAACCCTACCGCTATTTTGGTAAACAGTGCTAAGTGAGGTCAAGGTTTAGTGTTGCTATGCCATAAAAGGTTCTAGAGCAAGGTAAGTGCACATAGACACACACTTACAAAAACATAAATGAGCCCATAAACTTAAAAAAGAAACAATTAGTTTTAGAAATAACTCTTTAGATAGTGCTGATACATAGTATAGTTTATAAGTGTATTAGAAAACATTGAGGTGATGTGGAAGAATACAATAAATTTAATAAAGCACAGCTTGTATAATAAGCTATTATGTAATTGGACCCAGATAAGCAACATAGCAGAACAAAGTTTCAAAAATGCAACCAAGTAGGACAGGAACCCCGAGTCTAGATGCTGGTTAAGTTGGAGATACAGCTGGAGACACTGATGAGGTTCTCTGAGGGATTAGGTGGAGATGGGGAGAAGGTGGGTCACACAAATGAGAGTCTGAAAAGTGGAATAACAGAATAGCACTGAGATTTAAAACACAGGGAAAAGAGTCAGATTCGCTCTCAGAAGGCACACAAGAAAATTATTGGATCAGCGTGATTGAGAGAAGTTTGAATTGAGCGACTTGAGCCTTTCTCAGCTGTCACAGGCCTGGATTCACCCTGGAACTGTGGCCAGTCCATTACAGAGCTAACACAGAGAGACAATTAGCTACACTCTGCCACATCCACATCTAAAATCTAGATTTGTGTTGTCACACCTCCACTGTTTTGTCTGTTTAAATAGAACTATAGAACTTTATACGTTCATTCCCTCCCCAGATCTGAACGGTAATCACACACAGGTACAAAACAAAACAACTGCACTGAGACGCACTGGAAGAGATGGTCTCTACTCACCTCTTCAGATTTAAAAGGAACTCTAGAGTAGAGATCGACCGGATCGGTCCGATACTGACGTAAATTACTGGATTGGATATCGGAGAGAAATAAAAAATGTAATCTGATCCAAACTTGCAACATGGTGTAACTCGGCTCATAACCGTAGCACCTTGGAGCAGTGTGCTCACGTGATAGAGCGGCTGTGTGTAGTTGTAATGCTGGTTTTGTTGCAAGGCTACATCTCTGAGAAAGTTTTCCCCAGAGAAGTAAAGCAAGTGTGTAAGTTTATCTCTGAATGTTTGTAAAGCATTCCCACGTTAAGCTTAACAACCGATATATGGAGCGACTGCCTCTTCTTGCTGTTACTTCAATCGTGAAACTGATCAATGATCAGCTGATCTGCTTTTCTGTCGCGAGTCGTCTCTCTTGTTTGTTTTTGGCCCACTTCCCGCCAGAAAGAGGAAACCAGCAGCTGAACAACAGCAGCACGTTTAAGCTTGATAAGCTGTTGTTAGAATTTATTTATTACTTTGTAGACCAGGATCCTTTTCTACATAGCTGACGGCTGGTAACTGTGCAGGGGCGGATCTAGCAAAGTTTAGCCAGGGGGCCCGATAGGGCATGAACAGGGAAAAGGGGGCACAAAGACATACTTTTCTTTCTTATTCTCATTTAAAATGTCTAGCTTTTAATAAATAATTATCTGAATCTTACACCCAAAGTTTTAATCTTATGTAAAATATAGAGCTGGACCGATCCAATATTACGTATCGGTATCGGTCCGATACTGACCCAAATTACTGGATCGGATATCAGTGAGAAATAAAAAAAATGTAATCCGATCCATTAAATATCAAAAAAAGCACCTCACAAAACTTGCTACACGGCGTAACTAGGCTCATAACCTAGCACGTAGCAGCAGTATGCATGACCTGATAGAGCGGCTGTGTGTAGTTGTAGCTTCGCTACCAAACCAGCATTTCATCTCCGAGGAAGTTATCCCAGAGAGAAGTAAAGCAAGTGTGTAAGTTCATCTCTGAATGTTTGTAAAGCATTCCAACCGATATATGAAGCGACTGCCTCTCTCTCTCTCTCTCCTGCTGCTACTTCAATGTGAAACTGCTTAATGATCAGCTGATCGGCTTTTCTGTCGAGAGTCTGTCTCTCTTCTTAGTTTTTGGCCCACTTCTCACCAGAAAGAGGAAACTAGCGGTTGAACAACAGCAGCACTATTAAGCTTGATAAGCTGTTGTTAGAATTTATTTAATATTACTTTCTAGATCAGGATCTTTTTCTACGTAGCTGGTAACTGTGCAGGGGTGGATCTAGCAAAGTTTAGCCAGGGGGGCCGATAGGGCATGAACAGGGAAAAGGGGGCACAAAGACATACTTTTCTTTCTTATTCTCATTTAAAATGTCTAGCTTTTAATAAATAATTATCTGAATCTTACACCCAAAGTTTTAATCTGATGTAAAATGTATAGAAGTCCATTACTGTATATAGTAACTGTTAAGTCTAATATACCCTAGTAAGCTATACTACTTTTTCCTTTGGGAAGACACCATCTGTGCAGTCTGCAATTCTGTTGAAGAAAGATGCTGAATCTTTTTAATTATTCTTGAAAAATAATTTATTTCTGTGCATTTCCCCCCCTGCATCAAATTTAATTTGATTACATCGATTAAGCATCATGAGGTGGAGGGTGGCTCCCTATTTTTTTTTGCTGGGAGTTTGCAACCCTATTAGTTAGGTTGCTTAATATTTCTGCTAAGTACTCTTTAAAATACCAGAATAGGAAGGATGGAGCAGGTTTAAGTTTATTAGATTGATCAGTGTTGCTGAACTATGAAATATTTTGGGCGCAGTGTATTTTTTACATACAGGTATAACAGAATAGCTTTAGTGTTGTTATTTATTTAAACTTGAGTATAAACGTATACAAAATCCAGCAAGATATTAAAAAAACGTGTTATTGATTAAAAAATATACTATACCTGATTCATATCGGTATCGGCAGATATCCAAATTTATGATATCCGTATCGGACATAAAAAAGTGGTATCGTGCCATCTCTAGTAAAATATATTTTACTAGAGATGGCACGATACCATTACTGTATATAGTAACTGTTAAGTCTAATATACCCTAGTAAGCTCTAATACCTTTTCCTTTGGGAAGATACCATCTGTGCAGTCTGCAACTCTGTAGAAGAAAGATGTTGAATCTATTTAACTCATTCACTGCCAGCCATTGGCAGTGAATGAGTTTAACTCATTGACTCATTCACTGCAATTGACGGCTATAGACGTCAATGGCAGTGAATGAGTTAATTATTCTTGAAAAATAATTTATTTCTGTGCATTTTTTCCCCCACACTGCATCAAATTAAAGTTGATTACGTCGATTAATCATCATGAGGTGGAGGGTGGGGGTGGTTCCCTATTTTTTTTGCTGGGAGTTTGCAACCCTATTAGTTAGGTTGCTTAATATTTCTGCTAAGTACTCTTTAAAATACCAGAATAGGAAGGATGGAGCAGGTTTAAGTTTATTAGATTGATCAGTGTTGCTGAACTATGAAATATTTTGGGCGCAGTGTATTTTTTACATACAGGTATAACAGAATAGCTTTAGTGTTGTTATTTATTTAAACTTGAGTATAAACGTATACAAAATCCAGCAAGATATTAAAAAAACGTGTTATTGATTAAAAAATATACTATACCTGATTCATATCGGTATCGGCAGATATCCAAATTTATGATATCCGTATCGGACATAAAAAAGTGGTATCGTGCCATCTCTAGTAAAATATATTTTACTAGAGATGGCACGATACCATTACTGTATATAGTAACTGTTAAGTCTAATATACCCTAGTAAGCTCTAATACCTTTTCCTTTGGGAAGATACCATCTGTGCAGTCTGCAACTCTGTAGAAGAAAGATGTTGAATCTATTTAACTCATTCACTGCCAGCCATTGGCAGTGAATGAGTTAAACCCATTGACTCATTCACTGCAATTGACGGCTATAGACGTCAATGGCAGTGAATGAGTTAATTATTCTTGAAAAATAATTTATTTCTGTGCATTTTTTCCCCCACACTGCATCAAATTAAAGTTGATTACGTCGATTAATCATCATGAGGTGGAGGGTGGGGGGTGGTTCCCTATTTTTTTGCTGGGAGTTTGCAACCCTATTAGTTAGGTTGCTTAATATTTCTGCTAAGTACTCTTTAAAATACCAGAATAGGAAGGATTGAGTAGGTTTAAGTTTATTAGATTGATCAGTGTTGCTGAACTATGAAATATTTTGGGTGCAGTGTATTTTTTACATACAAGTGTAACAGAATAGCTTTAGTGTTGTTGTTTATTTAAACTTGAGTATGAACTTATACAAAATGCAGCAAGATATTAAAAAAAAATTTTTATTGATTAAAAAACACTATATGGGATTCATATCGGTATCGGCACATATCCAAATTTATGATATTGATATCAGACATTAAAAAAGTGGTATCGTGCCATCTCTACTATAGAGTGCCTTGTTTATGGCTAGAATTTGATCTGATGACTACTGGGTGTACATTGCATGTTTGAACTGAATGCCCTCCTATGGCCAGGTGTGTTTTGCATACTTGGTTGCTGCAGAGATAAGAGATCAGATAAAAGATCACAGGTGATCCAGAATGCTGAAGCGAGAGTACTAAAAGGGACTAGAAAGAGAAAGCATATTTCTCCCAACTTAGCTTCCCCTCAGTGGCTTGCTTTTAAATCTGGAATCAAATTTCTTCCTGTTAAAAAGCAGCTTTTCCTTCCCACTTTCACCAGATACTTGCTCACAGGTGGATCTGATTGTTGGGGTTTCCATAAATTTAAATTTAGAATCACCTGGAAGACACCGACAGGGACAGCATCCAAACTCCCCAGAAAAGTCCCCAGCCAGCTAGGGCTACAGTAATGAGTCACTGCTGTCCTCACGTGTGAACCACAAACCAAACAAACTAATT